GTGTATCCACATTGCTGATTGGTCTGCATAGTGTCTGGACTTCCTCCTTGGCCAAGACAGACCCCTGGCATGGCGTGATGGCTGAAACGATTTGCTAGGCAAATACATAGCGACATTTTTCTTTCTTTTTTTCTTTTCTTTTTTTCCCCAGAGATCTGTTTGGTCAGGGAGATACGCAAACCTCTTCCTATAGGCGAACTATTGACAAGATTTACGCGACGATCGAATGCTACGTCGGCAATAAACAAAAGTACCAAGCCATACTGAGCTAGATAAATTCTTCTGCAGTTGTGGCGGATAAGAAAGTCGCGGATAGTGTGAGTGGTGGTGAATGGATCGCAGCACGAAGGAGGACCGTTGATAAAAATCGCCGGGGAAGAAGAAGGGGCTGATCTCCGATTCTAATCCGAATGATCGCCCTCCAAAACCACCAGAGCGCCAGCCATTCAACTCGGTGATTACAAATGGAGTCACACCACCGAATCCTTGGCTGCAGACGCCCGATTGGACAGATGGTGCTTATTGGCTCGGTGATGGGAATCTATACATCGGGGATTGCCGAAGCCCGTGCCTCCGAGGCCGACCTTTAGAGGTCTTTGTTCTATCTGTATTCTATCTGTAATTTAGTGACACCTCTCATTATCTGTCCAGGGGCTCAAACATCGATTTCTAAGCGGCATGTAGGGATCACCGCTGCCCCTTCGAGCTTTGTGTGATACTTAGTTGGTGACTGCATCAGAGAACCATCAAGCGTGGAAGGATGAAGCACCTGAAAAGACAAGGTATCTCCCTCTTGGAAACGTGCCTGTATAACAAGAACTCACACTTTCAATTAGGATAAAGTTTTTTTTCTTTATTTCTCGATTTAGACATTTTTTTCACCCTCCTCCGAGATATTCTATAACCGGATCATCTTCGCCTCTTCGCTTTGAACCGCCTTCACAGTATCACACAACTTCAGATCTAGACGACGGGTTCCGAACCCCCCAAAATGGTAGCAGCACTGGAGAAGGAAGTGCCCGGTGATACAGAAACATCCAAAGAAATCCCGACCGATAGCAGCGACAATGAGCAACCAGCACCTTCAGAGGAGACCGATCCCAAGATGGAATACCCCCAGGGTCTAACCCTAGTCCTGCTTGCTGGAGCGTCGATCATGGGCGTCTTCTTGATCTCTCTAGATCAAGTAAGTGAATCATTCCCCGACGCTCGAGGAAATGTCAATCCGATCAATCCCACGATCACTAACACACCACGACAGACGATCGTCGGCACTGCAGTACCCAAGATCACCGACGAATTCCATGGTCTCTACGATGTTTCTTGGTATGCCGCCGCCTACTTCATGACCTTTGGCGGTCTCGAGGCCACATGGGGTAAAGCCTTCAGGTATTTCGACCTGAAGTACACCTTCATTCTTTCGATGATCATATTCGAGATTGGCAGTCTGATCTGTGGTGCCGCACCCACTTCCAAGGCCTTGATTGTAGGTCGCGCCATCGCTGGTTGGGGCGGTGCAGGCATCTCGGTCGGAGGAACCAGCATCGTTGCATTGAGTACGCCACCGAAAACGCGACCGATCCTCATGGGAGTCATTGGGCTCACCTATGGTCTTGCCGCCGTGCTGGGTCCCTTGATCGGTGGTGCCTTCACTGACAAGGTCACTTGGCGATGGTGTTTCTACATCAACTTGCCGATTGGAGGCCTCGCCGCTCTGCTGGTACTCTTCTTTTTCCATCTACCCAGTGCTGCCAAGCCCCCGCAGGTGAGCCTCAAGGAGAAGCTGCTTCAACTCGACCCAGTGGGTGTGGTTCTGGCCATGGGAGCGATCACCTGCATTCTTCTGGGCCTTCAGTATGGCGGCAACACTCATCCCTGGAACAGCAGCGAGGTTATTGGCTTACTCGTCGGGTTTGTTCTCATCACCATTGCCTTGATCGGGTGGGAGATTTATCTGGATGAGTATGCCATGCTACAGCCGAGATTGTTCAAGCGAAGATCGTTGTGGAGTGTCGCCCCGTACCAATTCTTCTTCATGGGCGACCTTATTCTGATCCTCTACTATCTGCCCATCTATTTCCAAAGTATCAAGGGTGCAAGCCCGATCGAGTCCGGTGTTGACAACCTCCCCATGGTTATCTCAGTCGCCATCTTCTGCGTTGTTGGTGGTGTCGCGGTCTCCAAAACCGGCCATGCAGCGCCGACGATGCTCGTTGGCTCGGCGATGGCCACAATTGGGATTGGTCTACTTTACACTCTCGACATGGACACTGCAAGTGGAAAGTGGATTGGGTATCAGATTTTGGCTGGATCTGCCATCGCCTTCTCCGTTCAGAACGGTCTCAACATTGCTCAAGCCAACGTGGGCCCAGAAGATATCCCAGCCGTCACGGCCAATCTTTACTGTATGTTCCAATGTCACGTCCGCGTCGAAACACTCGCTAACGCTTTTTTATTTTTATTTTTATTTTTAGTTTTCCAAACCGTAGGAGGCGCATTTACCACCTCATCAGGACAGGCAGCGTTCATCAACAGATTGTATGCCAATTTACCCCTCACAGCTCCTGGTGTAGACGCAGCCCTTGTGGGCGCCACGGGTGCAACAGAGCTCCGAGATGTGTTTACCTCCGAGCAGCTCCCTGGAATCCTTCTTGCCTACATGCGAGGACTCAAGGCTACCTTTGGGGTTGCAATCGGCATGTCTGGTTTCGCCTTTTTGTCTACCTTTATCATTCCTTGGAGCAGACTCCCGACTCATGCACCAGCCAAGGACTCGGAGAAGGATGAGGCGCCTCCCATGGCCATGCCTTGATATCCCTCTGATTTGAGACATATGGTTGAAAACCAGATTTTGTTTCATCGCCGCGGCCGTCGAATCTGGGAGTTGCGGTGGCCGTCAACGGCATAGGCTTACAAAATTGCATATTTCCGTCGCTTTAAGTTGCTGTTGTTGTACAGGGAGCCTACCATATCTGCGGGCATTTTCGTGGTGGTTATCGGCATATATAATTTATGATACCTCCAGTTCGGTCAGATGGATTCTTGCCTTGGCCGCTGTCTACTACCTGTAGCAGATACACTTTCAGATAGTCAGAAAGATCATCTCCTTTTAATCAATCCTACACAATTCACCTAACAAATATCCATAGAGGTTCTTCAGGTACTCCTTCATATACTATGACATTTCAAGCTTCCTCTAGTTGGTATGAGATATATGACCAACTTATGGAAAGGTAGGTAGCGATTATGAATAGCAACTCTTGAATGTATTGGAAAATTGACCGTGAGAGAGATTCAAGGAGACCGTGGGCCAAGCCCCAACACTGAATCTGGATGGGATGAGCTGTAATGTCGGGAAAATGATGATCGCCATCAAATTGACTCAAACGGTACCTCCAAGGTTGCGGAAGATCTGCTATCATGTACATACCAATCCCGTCTTTAGATTACGTATACTTGGGCCATATCTCGGATATGTCCTGTAACCTCCGAGTCACGGGTATTCTCATGGGTGTTTCAACCCCCTATGAGTTCAGTAGTATAGTTCATCAGAATCAACACTCTTTTCATCTCATCTTTGCATTACCCCTTTCTGATGCCGTTACTCTTATTGGCTGGTAAATGCAGTGTATTTCCATAGGCATATAGGCCATTCCTGTTATGTAACTATTTCTGTAATTTATAGACAGTGCAACCCAATGCACATACAAAATAGAATACCTGCCCTGCCCAATCAGGACTAGAGTGGGTCCAAACGGACTCTAACCGTGTATATCAAGTCGGTTTCCACCATCTTTCTCTCAATTGAGATACTCTACCACCAACCCTTATCGCACTCCATCAAACTGCGATGAGCAAGAATGAGAAGATGGCTGTGAAGATCCAGGTGTGATATGGGACAACGCATTTACTCTGGTGCTTTTCGGACTGGGTCAACTTTGGGGGAGATGGGCCGAGCCGCCCGTGTGGGGCTGGGCTACTTGCCCCTCCGCGACTCGTCAATCAGTGCCGATCTTGCAGGACTTGAAGGCCTTGGTGATACGGTCTTTTGATTAGCAATCTCGCGCTGCTCGGCCTTGGGAATCTGCGAGCCAGTGTTGCTACTGTCTAACAGCGGCCACTCACCCCAGGTAGGTTGGCAAATTGTTCATGCAAGACTAAGAATGGCCCGATAGTCAAACAAATCTGTCAAGTGAAGTGGTCCCGCCAGTACTGAGCGGGACCTACCGGCACGTAGCCAAGTCCAAGCCTTACTCGAAATCGCTAGTATTTTGTATGGAAACACGGCCGCAGGGGGTGCCATTCAACCTGGCACCCAGATAGATTTATGATTTCTATTGGATTATCCGCATACGCTGCCATACCGTACTATATCCTAGGACTCTGTCAACATCGTAACAACCGAACTTTTCGTTCCCTCTTTTGAGCGGACATTTGAACGAATGTCCGAACGCAGCCCCCCAACCTGGAAACGGACTACTCTAGGTAGACTCGGCGGTTTTTGACGTCATAAATGGCCGACTGCTCAAATCGGTCGTAGTGGAGCCAAGAATGTGTTTTAAGTTGCATCGAAAACAGGGGGTTCACATACGCGATAAACTAGCGCGAGATCGCGTACTAGTTTCTATTGCTACGGCTTATTACGTTCAAGACATACAGTCTGCACATGTGCGTACCCTCCGGCACCATCTGTAGAACTAACATTCCAGAAGATTTTTTACTCTGTAAATGGAAACAATTCGGAGTGTTCGGGAATTACCAACTATCAGACGAATAGCAGAATGGCCCCCAACGAATAGGAAACATCTTCCTATAATCAGGTTTAGCCAGATGCCCAGGTGGCACTGTATATCATTGAATAATTGATCCTGCGTATGTGCACGAGACACTGGCTTCCAAAACTATGGAACACGAGTGAACGAGTGAGTCTATGCCATGTCACCTTTATCTCAGGCGATGGCATCAGGCTGCAAGCATAATCGGCTCGTTAGACAGCTGCTTCATCCCAGTAATAAAGTGATTTCCATCCTCCGCACGCTTCTGGGCATCCTGGTAAGAGGACCTTGAGGCGCGGACCGCCGCACCCCCCTTCTTAACATCTCCTCGTGATACCCTGCGACCGCTGTCTTCACAGCAGTAATGTCACGGACGTCCCCGTCAGCATCCAGCTGGCCAAGTACCTTGGCCAATTTAATCGCATCGATGAAAGCATGGAATGCACCTTCGCCGCGGGACGGGGTCATCGCATGCGCCGCATCACCCAAGAGCACGACACGGCTGGAAGGGAGACTGTCGAGTTCAAGGTCCCGCCAGATATGTGGCTCTTTTCGAATCCCCTCAGCAGTGGTCAGTTCGAAGATCTCACGAAGCTTGGGCGGCAGGCCCGCCGTGGTCTGGAGGACGTGGCTTAGCTTTTCCTGCTGGGTGGATGTTTGAAGCCAGTGCTGTGAATCGTTGACTTCGGCATCGGGTTGCATGAACATCCAGTAGAAGCGAGCGGACTTGCCATCGGGGAGTACATAATGAAGGCCGACAAAACCGATGAAGCCGAGTTCGGGGTTGATGAGGTTATACGCGCTGTGACCGAGAGCGAGTTGGCGTTCAAAGGCCTCACCTGAGAGGGTCAGTTCGCCCACGATGGCACTGAGCGGGACGACCTGGAGGAGGTCGCTGCTGGGACGCTGGAGGAGGTGTGTTCGGACTTGATGAAAAGGGGGTTAACAGTTAGCTGAACATTGTCGATACATCGATGGGTTTCTCTGTTGGGCTATCAAATTGGAACAATGTACCGGGACTATACACCCCGTCGGCACCAACAACAATGTCACCCTTAGCACTCGTGCCATCTTTAAAAAAGACCTCTACGCCTGTGTCATCACGATGAATTTCAGTGACATGCTTGCCCCACTGAATGGGAAGATTGGTCAAGAGCCACTTCCGAAGCCGAGAGCGCTCGGCACGGATGAATGGCATTTCAGGAGAATCCTATTTGCTCGAGACCGCAACTGGCGAGTTAAAGGTAATTCCTAACTTCGTATGTTGAGCCGCTGTAATCACATACCTCGAATCCAAACCCATGGTCCTTGCCAGCATAATAATAACGGAACTGAGCCGGAATGTTCAACGGGGCTAGGTGGTTGGTTGCCTCTCTCACATCAGGTAGGTCGGACGGAAGAGAGGACAGAAAGGTGTCAACAACACTATATCTTTGTTCAGGGTGCGGTCTTTTATCTTTGAACTCTTTTGATCCAGCTCTTACGTGTGGAGCGCAATAGCCCATCCCTGGAAGCGCGCATTTTCGTCTATGTCACGCTCGAAGATCTCGTACGAGATGCCTAGCTGTCGGAGGTTCTGAGCCAGGGTCAGGCCACCGATGCCGGCTCCAACAATGAGAACTTTCATGATACAAATCCAAGGTAGATCAAGGATAGCTTCAGATATATTGATTAATAGTAGACGAAAATCGAAAACCAATCCAATATCCGGTCATATAAGGATTTGAAGGGAATGAATACTTTCTTGACAATCAAGAGATTGTATTATCATAACAGCGTAATGACGCTGTGATGAGCATTCCGGGATCATGGCCGATAGATTCGGCGCTTAATAATAACAAAGATGCAGATAGTCTGACGAGGGACGCTCTTGGAGGGCTGGTCTGGCACAACTAATCGATGGATTTAGGTATGACCGGGGAATTCGACCACTTCAGCAAGCTATCTGAGCAGATCAAGAAACCGCCGAAATATTAGGTGACCTGAAGCACCAGGTTTAAGAGGACTCTCTCGGTGTATTGAACCCGGGCCTAGCTGGCTTGACCACTCTCGCAGGCGGGCTGAGTATAATACCACGCGTGTAAGTTTGTAGGTGTTGAAAACATCCTTATCTAGGCAGCATTCTCTTGTCATCTTGCTCTGTTTTGACGTACCACGTTGAAATAATCCACGGAAACCATGGCGACAGACGAAGTGACTCTCCCCTTGGTCGACTTGAGTGGATACATCAATCCGCAAAAGCCAGGAGACAAAGAGCGAGTCATCGCGGAGGTGAGAGACGCGTGTGCGAAGTATGGATTCTTCCAAGCGACCGGCCATGGAATCCCCCTGGACCAGCAAAAGAGTATGTTGAACAGTATCGACACTCTCTTCAATATGCCCGTGGAAGAGAAACGGAAGCTTTCGTTCTTGAAGAACCCTTGTCGCCGAGGATATGAAGAGTCTGGAGCATCGCTTCGGGACGGTGATCCTTTGCCGGACTCGAAAGAGGTACGAAGTCGATGCGACACTCACTATCTTTTGCTTTTGTAACAACTGCGACTAACACACTCTTGCCTAGGCTTATTACATCGGGCGAGAGGACCCCGTCGTAGAGCACTCCGGCTTCTACGGCCCGAATGTCTGGCCGCCTCTCCCCGAGGAGGGATTCCGCAATCCCGTCTGGGAATATTATCAATCCACCCACCACCTCGGCCAGCTCATCTGGGAGATCCTTCTCCTTGGCCTCGGGCATCCTGTCTCCCTCATGGAAGAGTTTGCCAAGCGCCCGATGGTGGTGTTGAAGATGATCCGTTATCCCCCTCATCGCTCCGATCTCCCCGGTCAGTTTGGAGTCGGTCCTCACACCGACTTCGGCGGCATCACCGTCCTTCTTCAGGAGGCTGGAAAGCACGGTCTTCAGGTCTGGCACGAGGGATTGGAGCAGTGGCTGCCGGTGAAGGCCGCGAAGGACATCTATATCATCAACTGCGGCGACATGATTGGAAAGTGGTCAGGGGGTCAGTACAAGAGTGCGAAGCACCAGGTCATCAATGCTGCGGATAACGAGGCGCGTCTGTCGTGCGCCACATTCTTCCACGGCGATCTGTTCGCGACGAACCCGCTGAACCCGTCAGACCCTCATCGCGAGACTGTCGGGGCGCTGCTGGTGAAGCGGTTCCGCAATCAGTTTTCTTTTGACAAGGAACTGATCGCCGCTGTTGGAGCTCCAGCCTGATCACTTCCCTAGACTAGATACAGTTAGATGCAGTTAGATGTAGAAGGGCCTGAGGCCTCCACCTTGCAATTAACCGAAATTGCCGACAAACCACCGATGTTCGTGATTCATAATTTCCACCTGACAGAAATGAATGCGATGAATCGTAAATGGCCGAATCTCTGATGCTCCTCGTTTTCCACATCCTCTAGATTTGAATCCTATAAGACCGTCTAAACACGGCTTGATCTTCACAATGCTAGGGAGTCTAATCCTTAAAATTCTCCAAGATGAGACCGTCCCTCCTGAGCAGTTTTTGCGCTTTCATAACCGCTGTCGGGGCCGTTGGTGTTAAGCCCAGTGCCCAATGCAAGTGCTTCCCCGGTGATGCGTGTTGGCCGTCCAAGCAGGAATGGGACGGCTTCAATAGCACAGTACGCGGCCGTCTGATCAAGACGGTCCCTTTGGGCGCTCCATGCCATGCTCCGAACTATAACGTATCGCTATGCGCGGCATTGGCGTCGCAGTGGAAGTATTCGGAGGTGCAGTGAGTTTACACCTTCGCAAAGACTGGAATTCATTACAGGATATTGAAATTGAGAGTCCTGCAGTATTGGCTCGTCTTCATCCATTCAAGACCCGATTTATGCCAACCAAAGCTGTGATCCATTCACCTCTCACACATCGCCTTGCCTGATGGGAAACTATGTGCGATATGCGGTGAACGTGAGCGACCCTAGCGATGTAGCAGCGACCCTCCAATTCGCCCACGAAAACAACATCCGACTGGTGATTCGAAACACCGCGCATGACTACATGGGACGTTCCACTGGGGCTGGGGCACTCGCCGTCTGGACGCACAACCTGAAGAGCATTGAGATTAAAGACTGGGCGGATGCCAAATACACCGGCAAGGCCATCAAGATCGGTGCTGGAATCCAAGGCTTTGAGGTGTCTCAGAGCCTCTCTAGCCATGGACTGGTGGCCGTGACGGGCGAATGCCCGACCGTTGGCATCGCTGGAGGGTATACGCAAGGTGGCGGTCACTCCCCTCTCAGCACGGCGTACGGCCTGTCCGCCGACAACACGCTGGAGTTTGAGGTCGTGACGGCCGACGGTAGGCTCGTGACGGCCAGCCCGACTTCGTCAAAATACGCCGATCTCTTTTTCGCCTTGAGTGGTAGTGGCGCAGGAAACTACGGCGTCGTGATCTCAGTCACCCTTAAAGCGCACCCCGAGGCCATCACCAGCGGCGCCGGGTTCACTCTGGACCAGCCTAACCTCGATTACCCAGCGATTGTCAATGCCTGGCACGCTGCACTGCCTGGGATTCTGGACGCCGGCGGTATGGCAACGTATTACGCACAGAACGACACCCTCGTTGTCTATTCCATTACGGGCTACAACCTCACACAGTCCGATATGGAAACGATCCTGGCCCCATTTATCAAGGCCGTGGCTCCGTTAGGTGTCATTCTCAAGCCTAATTATACCCAGTTCGACACCTACAACGAGCACTACGACTCGTATTACGGCCCCCTCCCCGTGGGAGTCTTCGGCTCGGCCGGTGAGTACCTCATGGGAGGCCGCCTGCTCCATCGAGATATGCTCCAGCACCTTGGGGACGCGATCAACCAGACCCTTCTGTTGGGAGTGCGCGTGATCGGCCAAGCAACCAACGTAAAGAAGTTTCGCTCAGAGGCCAGAGCCGTCCTCCCACAATGGCGCGATACCCTCGTCATGTCTTCCTATACCCTCCCCTACAGTTTTGAGGTGCCATTCTCCAAGATGACGGCCGAGCAAGACTACATCACTGACCACATCATGCCGATCATTGAGAAGGTCACTCCCAATGCGGGTGCGTATATCAACGAGGCGGATTTCCAGCAGCCCGATTGGCAGGACGTTTTCTTTGGGCAGAATTATGCGCGTCTGTTGGCGATCAAGAGGAAGTATGATCCGAAGGGACTGTTTTGGAATCGGATCGCGGTCGGGAGTGAGGGTTGGAAGACGCGACGAGACGGGAGGCTGTGTCCAGTTTGACGGAAGCCGAGTGCCTGACTTGTACCTATGTCAATAATCACCGCGTAACTAGTCTGGGGCAGAGTTATGGCTCCCTTGTCGGGCTTGTGAAGATATATATACGCAAGGCTAGGCAATTGGCTAGGCAATCGTACGTACCGTATGCAAGCTGAGTTTCGGCTTTGCTTCAGAAGAGCTCACATATGCCTCATCCTTGGCGTAGATCTCACCATTTGCTTCCATACCTGGTCTTGGCATAGCTAACAACGAAGGACAAACCATATGGGGAATATACTGATGCATACTAGTTGAGCTTTAACGAAACTTAGTGGTTAAACAAAGAACTAACTTGGTACGAATGCTATGATGGATCATTGTTCTATACCGAGAGAGCGAATGGTTTGACGGAGTAGCTATTCGCCTATATTATGAAAACCATCTTGTCCCCACGTTATCAAGGTCTCATTTTCAATCGATCTCCTTCATGTTGGTTAAATTTTTCTATAATGATTCGTATGAAAAACATCTCCTATGACTAGAACATCCAAGTCTATCAAGCGTGACACAGCCTTGCCTCATCATCCAAAGTAAACTCATCCGCACCCACCGCGAACTGCGCATACATCAAGCGATGCGGGTCATGTGCATGCTTGATTCTTAGCAATCTGTCATAGTTATCCCCGTACATCGTCTGTTTCCAATCGCCGGTATACAACGGATCCATTTCATTGAGGTAGACGCCAGACCCGGGCGTCGCTGCCTCCACAGCTGGGAAGAACTCATCCACAAGCTGCCGTTTCAGGGCGAGGCTCTTCTCTGGATCATGCCAGTCCCAGGGGTTATTGGGGTTGCAGTAGGCGATGGCCTTGCGCCAGGCTGGATGGACTGCATTCGGCGGGTGCGGGCCACGGATGGGAGACCCTTCGGCAACGTTGATGATGGAGCACCCGATGAACCAGGTGCCATCGGCCGTGATGGAGCGGTATGTGTCCATCAGATGGGCATTAGATATCGAGTTGAGCACCGTCGTGCGCGGGATGAGCCGGCTAGAGATGATGGGGTAGGTCGGGCACAGATTCCCGTAAGGAAAGGGGCCGTACGCTGTAGCCAGGCTGTCGGCGTAGGTGCTCGACTGGGTGGTTTTCAACTCGTATACGAGATTGAGGCGCTTCAAGTCTGCCAGGAAGGGAGCCACGAGGTCGTGGATGGCGGAAGTGTTCTGGTCCGGCAGAACGAAGCTAAACACTTCGAGGGTGGCGTTTGTAACCAGGAACTGAACATTGTTGGTAGTATTCTGCACGAATGATGGGCTTGTGTGGAACCAGATGCCGACGGCTTCCCAGAACGCGGCGTCATTGGTATTGTTGAAGATCAAAGTCCCTCCGGCAACAGGCCCGTCGGGGTGCGCTTTGATGGTCACGCTGAGCACAACCCCGTATGTTCCCCCACCACCGCCAGCGAGCGCCCAGTACAGGTCTGTGTTCTGCTCTGGAGTGGCGGTGAGATACTCTCCGGCGGGCGTCACCAGTTCCCATTCGAGGACTTGGTCAGCGGGCGCTCCGTACTTGGTGACAAGCTGCGAGTGGCCGCCACCTTGAAGATAGCCGCCAGCGATGCCGGTGAGGCCACACTCTGGCGCGACAATGCGATATCCTGTCCCATTTAGGGCTTCATATGCATCACCAGCGATCACTCCAGATCCGAGCTTGACAGCTGCCCCCAGATAGTGAGTGCTCGCATAGTGGTGGATCACGTCGATGGATTTCAGGTTGTACATCCATAAGGATAGTGCTCCATGACCGCTTGACTTGCCCATATAACTTTGCCTTGCGTCAGCAACGGTGGATATTGGATATGCCACAGAAAGAAACGGGGTTCGGGCTAGTCTTACTCAAGGCCTGTACTTTTGACAACGAGACGGATGTTGTGATCGCTGGCGAATCTCAAGCCAGCCTGCACGTCAGCGGGGCCAGTCACATTGATAGAATAGACAGCACGGTTGCCGAGCTCGCAAGGCAGGGATTGCGATGTAAACGGAGAACAGGATGTATCCATAAAGTAGGGATTTAACATTTCACCCGGTTGTGGTTCGCTGTTCAGGATCGCGTAAGCGTTGGATCATCTTTCCTAGCTCCAAGAGGGCAGATCGTAGGATTTCATGGATTGATGGATTGATGAATATCATACAGTGTCTGTGCGCCTGCATCGCTAAACGCTTCCTGAAGCGCGACGCATGCCGGCTCATTAAACGCGGGGTAAATGCCAGCATTGTGACAAATATGTGCCACGGGGATAGTCCCAATAAGCCTCCCACCCACTGTGTTGTTTAAATGATGCCACACTCCGGGGCCTGGCCATTCGCCATCACCTGGAATGTTCTTACAAGTCGAATATGCTGTCTGAATCGGCGTCGCAGCCGCCGTGGTCCCAACGATGAGGAGCGGCAAGAACCGGAGAACCATCTGAATGCGAGGTGATACTGTGTGTATCTCGTGAACAGGGGTGCAGCTTCGATGTTGCATCCCCATTGATCAGAAGGATATGTGAAGCTTTATCCCTGCGGAAATACCCCGATATTGGTCTAGATAGGGAATTCGGTCTGTTCTTTGTCATCCCCTGCATAAACGAGACCCACAGTAGGTTCGGTGCTTTTATTTTTCGGGATCGGGATGCGTACCGGATTTAGTTCGGTTGGAACCTTATGTTCGTGGCCAATCGGGGCTCGCCATTCTGGTCTGTTGAAATTCCAGGACTGTATTGGAAGCTGCCAGTGACATGATAGAACTGACCGGTCGTAGGCACGATGGTTCCACTCGTAAAATCTAGAGGAGTAGTCGCTAAGTTCAGCGCCGTGGAAGGATAGGGAACTGATGTCTGGTTGAAGAACTATGTGTGGCTTTCATTTGTAAACTCGACTCCGTCACCTTGGCCCGGCATACATCCCGGATCTAAATCAGGTCTAGTCTCGTAAAGATCCCAGCCTAAGTCACCTAAGTTCTCACGTACTCCAAAAGGACCATTATATTTCCCGACAGCCTGATATGACTTAGGATCCAATATATAGTAGTATAGTAGTAGCGCATCACAATTTAATATGTGCCCTGATGAGGTTAAGAAATTTTATTACCAATACTTCTTGAGGAGGAATTAAAATTTTACACTCTCCGACGTGCATTCTCGGGCCACTCATCAAGTTGTATTTAGCACTCTGAATAGCGATCCGCCGTGGATCCCTATGGACCCCAGATTAACAAAATTTGAAACCATAAGATAAGGTTTGAATGCCAATCCATTCTCCTGAAAACAATGCCCAGTTACTGGAATTCTGCAGTGACCGATAAAATAATTTGGGCAACATCGGTCATTTTCGTGAGCTGCGCCATATGTCCTGCATCTAAATGGACAACCTTGCTGCCAGCTAATATAGCCATCTGCTCCTGGACTTCAGGCGGAATTCCTTTATCTTTCTTGAGAATGATATATACGCTAGGAACCTCGCGCCACCCACAGTAGTTCGTCGTTCCGTCCCAATTGGCGGGCTGGCACTGCAGCTTAGCGATCCATTTCATAGCCTCCGAATCAACCATGTCGTTGAAAAGAATACCTCGAGGGTCAATACATGTAAAGTAGCTATTATTCTGCCGAAAAGTTAGAATTTATTTATATTTGACACAATGGAATAGGTGCAGGATAGCACACTAGCGAAGAGGATTGTGCGATACTCACGAAGTATTGCATCGTTGATGTAGGTTTAGTTTCAAATCCCTCTGGCCCAAAAGCACATGACATGAAGATAATGCCTCTAACCCCGCCCTTCCTACCCGTCACACTCATTGAATTGGCTGTGAGGCCCTGCATAGCTGCACTACAAAGGAACCCGCCTGCAGAATGTAGAAATACAACAACACCGTCCGACCCAGCCAGCTCGACAGTAGCAGCGAGGTCTCGGGCAATAGCAGCGGTGTCGTCTTTCACTGTGAGGCCACTAGCGGCTGTTGTGCCAGTGCTCACGAGCCGTGAGGAGAAAACAGATAACCCAGCATTCTCGAGTGCTTTCTTGAGCGGTTCAAAGACTTCAGGGCCTTCCCACAAGCCAGGGACAATAAAAATCACTGGTGCCATGAATCTCAGGAATAGGAAGCTGCATGAGCTTTAATGCTGATGCTCGTACAAGTAGAATATTGGACAAAGTGGCAGCTAAAAGCCGCGCGCGTGGGCAAGCCGATGACTAATCCAAATAGCTTTCTCTAGAGGAAGTTCTGGATGTTGCTCTCTATTCTTGGTCTTGGTTTGTGTCCAGGAAGTCTGTCTTCTTTCCTACTACGATACGACTGCGGCCTGTCGGAGCATTTAGCGGAGCTATTTCTTCGCACGTGACCGGAAGAGCGGGCGGAGGAATGCCCGAGATCGACTGAAGTTTCCAATCGGTAACACTGATCAGACCACAGAGAGAAATCTTTCCTAAACCCAGGAAGGAGCCAAGATAGATAGTAACAATAGATTTCCAAAATCGTCACCTCGCAACTTATCATCGGGTCTTGATCGTGATTCACGTGCTTCGGAACAGTACTCAAAAATAAACTCGGGAATACTGAATCAAATGCCCATGATCCAAGACGCAAGACGATGAGAACAGTTTCCCCTTCCACTCACAAGTGGCATCCTGAACATTATTTCAAAAGCTGAAGCGTTTCCAATTAGCAGACTCAACTATTTCCTGTGTCACAATTAAAAAGTTAAAGTAGTTGGCCACCCACTAATCAAGTATAGGAGTTGGGGAGTGTCTAAGACATTCTCGATTCCCCTTTCAAAGCCAACGAGATTATCCACCGCGTGTAGGGGAAGATATGCCCAGTCCACGCTAAGGAGTAAAGGCGAAAGGGATCTTGACCTCCGTCACCTAACCCGTATGCCGAGGAAGGTTCATGGATAAAAGAACGGCGGCAAAATGGCCTGCCGGATGCCCACGCTATGCGCAGACTGTTGGACAGAATTTTTTCAGCAAACGTACCGTATCTTCACTCTCGCATTAACACGGGTACTATAAGCCGAGATATTGAGAGACATGACTCTTCCCAATCCAATTCTGCCTGGTTTCAATCCAGACCCCTCTATTACGCGTGCTGGTGATGACTACTTTCTTGCTACATCCAGCTTCGAGTATTTCCCAGGAGTACCAATATATCACAGCAAAAACCTGAAACAATGGAAGCTTATTGGCCATGCCTTGACTAGAAATAGTCAGATCCGCCTCGCAGCTCCAGAACCAGGAGGAGGGGTGTGGGCGCCAACCTTGAGATATCACAATGATGTGTTCTATTTAACCACGTCAATATTTGACCGATTCCGTCCTCAACAAGGCGAACGAACATTTCCACGTGGGTTCTATATCAAGACAGAGAATATATGGGACTCGTCATCTTGGTCAGATCCCGTGTTCTTTGACATGGTAGGATTCGATCAAGATGTAAGCCTCTCCTATTTGATTTCGACCCCGTGAAATACTCCTTACTAAACACCTGATACTAACCAACTGTCTAGCTCTTTTGGGATAATGATGGGGGTGTGTACCTGTCTACCACTCACGTTAAGGCTGATCGATCACCCGATGCGGATCTATCACGGCTTGACTTTGCCATACACGTCTGCAAGATAAATTTAATGACGGGGGACTCAATTACCAAACCCGCAATGATTCGTGAATCATTATCTGGAATTGCTGAAGGATCGCATATCTTTCGACGAGGACAGTATCTTTACCTCATTACAGCAGAGGGTGGCACTGGCTCCAGGCACTCTGTGTGTGTGTTTCGGAGCGAGAATGGGATTCTAGGGCCCTGGATTTCTTTCCCAAACAACCCTATACTACACAGCTGTACAAATCATGAAGTACAGAACACAGGACATGCAGACTTTGTCGAGGATGTGAATGGAAAATGGTGGGCCGTGCTTCTTGGAGTGAGACCGGTCCGGAAGAGCGACAGTTTGTGGCAAGATTCCGTTTTTGGTAAGTATATATCAGGAAGTTGAGATATATTGCTATGAAGAGCTGATCTTATTGTTCTCAGGGCGTGAGACATTCCTGGCCGAGGTGGAATGGATCGACAGCTGGCCAGTCATCAACCATGGACAAATGATTTGCCTTGGCCCTGAGCCAGAGCCTCCTTATACGCGAATTCTGTGGAGAGACGACTTCTCCTGGCCTTCATTGACCTTGGGGTGGTACAGAAAAAGTACGTATGACCCCACTTCCGCCCCACACAGCCTCACTGTTGCTCAATCTTCCGGCTATGTTACTCCTATCTTGTGCGACTCAGCTCTAACATAATCTCTTACACTGAATTATAACAGACATGGCGGAAAAGCTCGACTATTCTATTCTGAAAGGCCAAGGTCGTCTGCGCCTACATGGAGGACCTTACAACCTCTCCGACCCGGCTAGTCCTACCTTGCTTTTACGGAAGCAGACACATAGGTCATGCGTCTGGGAGACAAAGCTCTCATTCCATCCAACAGAGGAGCATGAAGAGGCGGGATCGGTGGTCTGGTGGAATTATCTCACTTACAGCAGTATTGGAATCCGCAAAGTGTACGACGATAAGAACGCAGATGCGGCCGCCAAAGCGAGACTTGTCCGTTTCAGATCTGCAGACTGCGAGATTGTTGAGCGCAGGCTCCACAAGTTTGACTCAGATGTTGTTCTCTTAATCAGATGCGGTGACTCCAAGTATGAGTTTGGGTTCCAAGAGCTTGATAAGATGGGGGGCGAGATTGTGGAGCCTCATTGGTTGGGAGAAGTGAGCACCGAAGCAATGACAAAACCGCCATCTCTTGGGATGGCGTTCTCTGGCATGTTGCTAGGCTTGTACGCCTTTGCAAAATTTCGGAAGTGTACGGAGCCTGCCGACTTCCATTATGCCGAGTTTAGATTACCTGATGATGGTAGATGACGCATCGTATAAAAGGTCTCCGATGGAATGATGAGATCTCTATTTTCTGTCTAACAGCGAGGGACCATACACATAAATCCTGTTATATGAGCCGGGTTTAGACTTGTTACGATCATGGAAAGAGCCAACTGGAAAGTAACCAGGTGCATTCACGAAACAACGAAGGTGAAGAAGGAAGAAACTACGGAGGCTCTGGTAACTATCTTGTAGAGAGCTTATGCAAATAGGCCCCATTAGGTTAGCTCGGTCGGGTGTTTCTATCACTCCGCGTCCATCAGGTGATCTCCGTCCATCGTTCTGTTATGCGTCATATAGCCCTCCTTTTTAAAGAGGCTCGCCCCGAGACTCTAGGATATTATCGTCGATATGGTTACCAACGAATTCGTCGACTTCTGCTGTAGCTAGCCAGATCTGTAGGTTCTTTGGGGGTCCGGGGGAGTTAGGGTATCGTCGGTAGAAATCTATTAGTTTTAGCGGCGTATTTTTGAAGTCGGCTACGTAATACTAAGCGTCGTCCTTGTCGTGGCCTAGCTACTTAACCTTATACTGTAGCTTTCGGTAGTGTAGGCGTGACCGTAGGACCTCTTCGACTTCCTATTCTTGCTGATCATTAACTAGGACTAGCGGTGGAGGATTTTCGATCTGATCTGGTAAGGGATCGGTCTTCGATGTACGGCGTAGCTTATTTGGCGAGAAGACTGGGTGTACCTTAATGGATGGGGGTAGCTCGAGCCTGAACGTATGGCTTTTTTTGGCGATAATCTTATACGGCCCGCTGGCTTAGTCCGATAGCTTCCGGCTTAGGCGGTCTAGTCCCTAATAGTATGTAGTAATATAGACTATATCTCCTACGTCGAAATCTACCTCGCGGCGGTGTTTGTTCGCCTATATACGTTGGAGCCCTTATGTGTGGTCGATTACTTTAGTAGTCTCTTTCTAGATTCGTTCGATTCGTTCTATAAAGTTTTGTGTATTACTAGTTAATTACGGCGAAAGAGAAGCGTCGGTAGGTAGGTCCTAATCGAATAATATTCTAGGCTTGTATCCTCTTTCTATAAAGAAGGGGGACCTTTTCGTCGAGTCTTGGTGTAGCGCGGACGCGGCGAAGTTAATTATCGGTAGCTATTCGGACTAGTTATCTTAGTGCTTATTGACTATCACTCTTAGTCGTTGGGCTATCTATTAGTTAGCTATCTCGGTCTGGCCGTCGGTCTGCGGGTAGTGAGCGGTAGATAGCTTACGCTTAATATAAAGAATTCGGCAGAACTTAGTCTAGAACGCCGATATAAACTATTCTCTACGGTCCGATATAATTGAGTTAGGTATACCTACCTATCGGAAGAGATATATAATAAATAATCGAGCTATTTCTGCGGCTGTAGTCGTCTTATAATAGGGGATAGAGGCCTAGCGCTTGCTAAGGCGATAGTATACTACGAATACTGCGTCGTAGCTATGCTTGTCTTTAGGGAATGTCCGGAAATCTATTATGATATACTGCTATAGCCGATCGGGGGTAGGGAGTGGTTATAATAACCCTAGGGGTCGGTCTCTCTATGTCTTTATCCGCTTGTAAATTCGATAATTATCTACGTATCGTTCGACGTCGGTTGCCTAGTTAGGCTACTAGTAGCGACTTAAGAGAAGGGCCTTTATTTTAGTCTCGCTAGGATACGTAGTGTATAGTTAACGATAGACCTTATTAAGTAGGTATGCCCTAAGGTCTCCGTCATCTGGTACTACTAGTCTTCCTTCGTAGAGTAAAAGACTATCTCTTATCTCCTAATATCTATCCTCGCTTATTCTTATCTAGTTTCGGTTTACGTCGAGGGAGGGATAAGTCTGATTAGTATAGAGAACGTATACGACTACCCCGGTTATATCGGAGATAGTCTAGGATCCGTCGTCGGGGTTTGTTATCGTTACCGGAGCGATTCTAGCTAGAGGGGGTTAAGGGTTATTATTATCGGGGTATATACCTTGTTCGAGGCACTCGTACGGGAGGAGGATTTGGTTCTGCCTATTATAAGTACTAGGGTCTTTTCGTAAGAGGGTATTAGCGATGATATTTCGTTTTCCTATAAAGTAGCGTATTAGGAAGTGAAATCTCGATAGGAATTCTCTCTAATGCGCCTAACGGGCGTTTAGCTTCTTTATGGTTATGAAATATTAAAGCGACTGATAGTTAGAGAAGATACTAAATCAGTCGTCCCGTTGTAGTCCCTCTAGCTCCGCTCTCTAAAGATTAAGGGCCTTAACGATTATAAATATCTTATAGTTATATGTGTCCTATCGCTACTCCGTAGTAGTTAGTTTTAACGAATAGAAACAGATAGGGTACTAATAGCTATTAGGCTAGAGCTATAAGAGGACTCCTCCGATATACCTATCTGATACGTCGGTCTCGACCTTTATAGGGGCCGATGCGTCGTAGTAAGCTAATACCGGAGCCGTCGTTATTATCTTCTTAAGTTCTTAGAAGGCTTATTTATATTACGTACTTTACTCGAACGGTGTCTTATCCTCGGTGAGGCGATTTAGTAGCTTCGTAATCTGACTATAGTTCTTTACGAATTATCGATAGAACCTACAGAATCCTAGGAAAGATCGTACCCCGCGAACTATAGTAGGCTGCTACTAGTCGACGATCACTATAATCTTTTCCGGATTAATCTTAATACTATCAGTGCCGATAATAAAGCTAAGGAACCGGGTTATCTACGTATAAAACTCGTATTTACTTAGGCTTGCCTATAGTCCGGCTTCTCGAAGCTTTTAAAGCACCTTCTTAATATATTCGATATATTCCTCTATCGTTTCGCTATAGATTAGGATATTATCGATAAAAGCGGTAGTAAAGTCGTCGAGGTATCTACTAAGAGTTATATTAATAAACCGCTAGAACGTAGTGGGTCTATTCGTTACTCTAAAGGGTATTACTTTATACTTATAGGACCTATATTATATATAGAAGGTAGTAAGGTCTTCTAAGTTAGGATCTATACGAATTCTGTGAAATCCTTACCGGATATCTAACTTTATAAAGTATCTAGCCTTACCTAGCCGTTAGAAGATCTTATTAATTAGTAGAATTAGATAATAATCTTTCTTCGTGATCGAGTTAAGCTTACGGTAATCGATATAAAACCGGAGTCCTCCGCCGGGCTTCCGGACTATTAGGATTAGGGAAGTATAGGGGGCCTTGCTTTCTTCGATAAACCCTTACGTAAGGTTCTTTATAATATAGGCCTTAGCCGCCTAAAGCTCTTCTTCTGATTACTTATAGAGCGGGTAGTATCTAGGGATTAGGCCTTCCTCGAGGATAATTCGATAGTCGGTAAACTCTCGGTGTAGTAGTAGCGTATCGGAGTCTTACTATAAAAATACATCGGTATACTTATAATATTCCTTAGGAATAATACGCTTTATCTTACGTTCTTCTGATTAACGCTCGTGTCGTTTATTCTCTAGGATCCGGTTAATCTCCTCGAGTAAGGTTAGAAAGACTTCGCTACTACCCCTTTATATATATCGGTAGAATCCTATAGCACTAATCATCGCGATAGCTTCTAATAGGGGGGTATAGGTCTAAAGAGTTAGTCGTTATCTTTCTAAGGAAGAACGGGGTTACACCTCTTTTAGTATACACTCTATTTTAGCTAGTATACTCTTATAGTCTTCGGCCGTAGTCTTTATCGGCTTATATTACGGTAGGCGATCGATCTTTTTAAAAGCTAGTCGCGTCGATCGGTATCTCGTTAGTAATTAGGATTAGGCCGTCGTAAGATTATCTAGGGGAGGATAGTAGATAGCTAACTAGCTACTTCATCCTATAGGCTCTATTCTTCTGGCTAGATTAATCGGCGCTTCGCGTAGTCGGGAAGGACCTTATACTCTATAAACTATTTACGTCCGAGGATTAGGTCGTACTTACTAAGATCAGCGACTAATATTAGTAAGCGGCGTTATATGTAGCTATTAATTATTAGTATCAGTTTAATAGTATAAGTAATCGGCTTTCTAGGGTAGTCGTTAAACCCTCGGGTCGGTACCTCCTTTTCTAGCCGTATCACTAGCTACCTAAAGGCCTTCGCGGCCTACAGGGCTAATCGGGTATCGATATATATAAATCTATCTACTCTAGTATCACTAAGCGCAGAAATCGAGAATAAATATCTATTATAGGCTATTTAGGTATTAAAAGATAAACTATTTCCTCTTCCTAATAACTTCTATAGATTCAGCGCAAAAAGTAATAAAGTTATACTACCTAAGAAGGAGACTTTCCCTAGGCTTAGGCATTTCCCGATTTAGGGGTATTAGCAGTAGTAGGGGCTTCGTAATCGGCGAGTTCTTTAGTAGTATCGATCGAAGCGACGGTTATCGGCTTCTTCGGGTAATCGCGTAAGGTATATCCTTATTCGTAATATTTAAAGCATCGACCTTCCTTTAGGTAGGTCGCTCGTTCCTCCGCGGTTATTAGTTTATAAGCCGGAGTAGCACCCTTACGCTTAATAAAAAGGGATGATATAGGGCGTCTACGCGAAACGGTAGTCGTAGCTAAGCCTAAGGCTAATCTAGAGACGGTTACGGCCGCTTAGGTACGACGAGATTCTTTCTACTTATAAAATAAGCTTAGGTTTAGGGCTATACACTAGTAGGTAGTAATAAACCTCTTAAAGCTAACGTCTAGGTTATCGAGTAGGTATATCGTCTAGGTCTAGAGCATCGGTAGTAGCTTACTATAAAGGTCGCAGAGTCGGTTTTACTTAGGCTACTAAGCCTCTTTAGCTAAGCGAGAGAAATCAGTAAGGAAGTCGCCAAAATTATCCTTAGGCTTTATAGTTAGGTAGGTATATTCGTAGAGTACCTCCGTAGCTCGGTTTAGGTTTAAGAAGATACTCTCGAGATACTTAATTATATCCTCTACGTCGCCGTACGGGTTAGACGCTCTATCTCTTATTTAGGGACTAATATAGAGTAAGGCCTTACCCTCGGTACGGCTCGAAATATAGTAGATTCGGTCGGACGGAGTTAAGTAGTAGTTAGCGTTACTACGTAGCTTATATCGAATCTAGTTCGCCTACTAGTCGAAGCGTACGGTCTTACCGTCGCTAAAGAGAGAGGGGTCGGGGAGTTTTATAGTATAGCGAGATACAGCTATCGGGGACTCGTAGGTCGACGGACGGTCTTACCTACGCTCCTATAGGTCGATAATCTTTATAGCGAGCTAACTAGCCCTTAGGGTAATAGTCTTAAGATCCTATTATACCTCCCCGTATTTAGCGTTTATAGTATCCCGCTAGTTAGTAAGAGTTCGAATTTCGCAGCACTCTCGGCGGAGGAGGTTAAGGAGTTATTTAGGCGTATAATTCTTAATAAAATTAAGATTAAGGTCCCCCTTAGAGAGGAAAGAGATCGGTTCGTCTAGTCCCTACTATCCGGTAGGTTCGGCGCTAGCGATTTTATCGTTATTACTATTCATTTCGTGCTCTCCGGCTAGGTTCTCTAGGGTCTAGTCGTAAGGCTTATTAGCCGTAGTGCTCTAACGGCGTCGGATCGTTAAACGGGATCGTACTATAACGTCGGCTTATCTTAGCAGGGGAAGGTTCGGTTCGGTTCGGTTAGAATCGTTCAGGATTCGTCGGTTTCGGTTTAGGGTAGGGCGTCGCTCTAAGTAAGACGGTGACAGCGTGCTGTCTATGTCTGTATAACTCAAAGATAACAGGAAAAGGTAAAAAAGGACCTTCGTTGCATGTTACGATTATAGAAAGAGCTAACTAGAAAGTAACCAGGTGCATTCACGAAACAACGAAGGTGAAGAAGGAAGAAACTACGGAGGCTCTGGCAACTATCTTGTAGAGAGCTCATGCAAACAGGCCCTATTAGGTTAGCTCGGTCGGGTGTTTCCATCACTCCGCGTCCATCAGGTGATCTCCGTCCATCGTTCTGTCATGCGTCACAAGACTGACCATTTCCCTAAATTATACCACAAGTTTCCAGCTACACTATATGAATCCCGTCCATGGTAGGAAGCCAGTATCGCGCCTGAATCCAACTTTCATGCTCTGATCAAATTCTGGCCCAGATCATGAGCATCCAAGGTCTACGAGATTGAGGGGGGTAGGAAGAGATAACTTGACACTGAAACGAAATTTCGCACACAAAGCAACACTTGACATTCAGGAGTATGGTACATAATCCGCTGTGCTGCTTAACATCCAAGACAGAAACGTCTAATAAGCAAACACCAGGGAGCCCCAGCTGGGCAGGTCATCTACGTTCGAGAAGACCCGACCCTCGAAGCCCTCTGCTGTGGACGCTTGAGTTGTGTAAGGCGCATGGAGACCTCGTTTGACAACATACTCATAATACATCATGTCCCAAATGGGCCGTTGATTGCTAATTCCTCGACCTTGCTCGGAGATTTCCGCCCATGGCCCATCCACAAGCACCGCTTCACAGCGAAACCAGGACGGGTCATACTTGACTGTATAATTCAGGTTGTATTTGGCTGAGTACTCTGATCCTTTGAGCAGAAGATTATCTCCCAGCTTGAACAAGTCGGAACCCTGACTCTGTGCAGTTTTGGCTGCCAGAGCCGTCCACCCGATGCCAGAGATGGAGTGGCCTTAGGACCCTTAAGTAAGCTTCACTGGGAAATTATAGAATACTTCGTGCAGGGTTGAAAAGGGATTTACCTTGGTCACGACCCGATTCTGAGCTTTGGCCAGTGCTCGGATGATAGAGCGAGAATACGCTAGCACAGCGGTCGTTAATGTATGCGTTGATAGCATAGTTATACAGATCAACATCATCGAGGTAGACTGCAAAGCTCAGCAGAGACTTGATGCTAATCATTCCATAATTAGCCTGGCCGATCACTGCCGCCTGGCGTGAGAAAAGCCAATATAGCTGGTTGCTGAAGCCAGAGCCACCATACCAGGCGGCGCCAGCCTCTGTCCAGTTACCCTCCCAGCGCATGATTTCAGCAGCATTCACAAAAAGGTCTCCTTCAAGACCAATCAGAAGCGACCGATCGGTACCCACAATATCCACCAACTGGGAGCCCCAAGCGTTGAGGATGTCAGAAGTTAGATTCCAGTGGGCTTGATCCTGAGTAATATACCACATCAGAGAGTTCTGCCATGCGGCACGAACATCGTAAGTAAATGAAGAGTAGTTGCTAATCGCTCCACGAGAGAGATACGCCTTCGGGCCTTGCATGGTGTAGTTTGACTGAGAGTAAATGTCGGTGCTGAATACTTCGTATGCGGATGCCCAGGGTTCCTTTTTTTCAGCACACCGTCGCGCATGCGCTCAAGATCCTCGTGAGTATGCCAGATTCCTGGATGGACAAAATCGCCTGGCTTCGCCTTGAAATATGCAGTCGCATCGACGCCACTCTGAGTGCCAAGTTGCTGAATCGGTGCAAGAAGCCCTGGGATGTCGTGGACAACCGCATTACATGCGGATATCCATGACATGGCAATAGCCCACGCGGCAAAGGACATTAACTAGGAGCCCATGGGTTAGGTCAAGGGGTCTCCAATGATCACCTTTCAGAACGAAGAGATCGAATACGGACCTTCCACATCACTAGTTGCAATTTGTAACGAAAGTTGAACACTCAAGTGTTAGATGAGCTGGGGGCAGGTGACACCTAGCAGCTTGCAATATCTTAATATACTCGTCAAAAGAACTCAAATTGAATTTGTCGGAAGAATAATTCGGACTAAACATCGGAGTGTCACGGAGGGTGTTGGCCGCTTGGCCAGCCCTCGGGGAGAGGCATGGAGTCCGTCGCCTTGTTAGGATCCTGTTCGTAGTCTAACCCCAGACCCACAGCGTTGTGAGCAATGATGACAAACTCAAAGCTTATGCAGGAGAGTGTGGGGGACCTGGAATAAACGGACTTACCCCTGAGAAAACCTCAGTAAACCCCATTCCTTGAAGACCGGGGAGGAAGGCCGGTAAATGGGCCGGTCAAGACCCCACATCGGTTAAAGGCTAACGAAGTCAAAATTGTCAATGTGCGTTTTGCAGAGAGGACAAGTGGGAATTTGACCCAAGATAAGATATAATAAGATAATAACAAACAGTACAGGATATCCTGGATAAGTCGCTCCTGATTAGTGAAACAACCCCTAAGCAAGTTCAAAGATCAAGTGAGGAAGGAAATGTACGCCCGCGACCCGCTACCCGCAGATCTACCTATCACTCCTCCTACTGAATACATTTATATTTTCACTCATGAGATTTTGGATTCGATCGGTTTTGAAAGGTTTAAAACATGATTCCTTTCTCTTCAATCTCCCAGAGTCGCTCGCGAGTGTGTTCAGTAAGTTACACGCTTTGGTCGATATGGCTCCTCTATATATTTCATCTCGCTCGGTGATAATCTAAAAGAGATTGAATGGAGAGCCTCATCTATATGCTCCATACTTCCAAGGCCAGTGATTGGATACATCCCTTGTTGTAAGCACCATGTCAAGGCAACAGTTGTCATCTTGCAACCCCTTTTTACTGCAACTTCAGTAACGCGCTGGATGACCTCCCTATCTGCACAAGTCTCGTTCTTACGGACAAGGCTCTGCAACAACTTGTCTGTCTGCTCGCGAAAAGTGCCTTTTTCAGTCCAGGGCCGAGCCAGTACACCTCGCGCCAAGGGGCTCCACGGAAACAGGCCGATGCCACTATCTCGGCAGAATGGGATCATTTCACGTTCCTCCTCACGATACAGGAGGTTGTAGTAGTTTTGCATTGATATGAAATTGTGCCAGCCGTTCTTTGCCGCAATATATTGTAGTTTTTGAAACTCCCACGTTGCCATGGAGCTGGCGCCCAGGTATCGTACTTGTCCACTTTCGACGACGTCATTCAAAGCCCTCATAACCTCAGTAGGATTAACGTCTTTGTCAAAGCGATGGATTTGTAGGATATCAATATAGGTTCCTAGTCTTTGCACACTTTCAGACACTGCAGACAAAATATGTTTGCGTGACAACCCCACACGATTGACTAAGTCTGGCTGAGCTTTGTCCATCAAGTTAGCTATCGGAGGTTGTCCATCGGGGTCAAGTGCGTAGAAAACTTTTGTGAGAATCACGACTCTCTCTCGAGGGATATCATATAGTTTGAGTGCCTTGCCAATAATTTCCTCGGATCGACCATTGGAGTACACATCGGCCTGAAGGCAAGTTGTCAGAGCTATTATTTATCGAAACATGAAGACAACATACTGTATCCCAGGTGTTAATTCCGACGTCAAAGGCATGTTTTAGCAACGGCAAGGCATCTTCCTCGTTCAAAACCCAGTCTTGCCAGCGGGAAGATCCATAACTAGCGGTACCGAGAATAATTTTGGAAACGTAAAGGCCAGAGTCTCCTACCCTTTAGAGCTTATGAGCATGATGAGCTCAATCAACTGAATGAAAGGAACTCACCTTCCGTATTCCATTTTTGCGGTCCCTAATTTCAATGATACTTGCAAATAGACAGAATAGAAGAACAGGGCCAACGTTGGAGCATTATAAATTCATTCGCCCTTTCCACCTACCTAAAAATGGGAGAATTACCTGGAGCAGCTCCCACATGGCAGCATGGCCTACTCCCCGGGACAGAAAGCGGGTGTCCCGACCGGCCTGCAGCTCAGTCATCCTGCGCCGGAGGATTAGCCGGAGACAAGGCCGCAGAGAGCCAGGCTTTCATTTGGACTGTCATCTGGACCTCATTTTTCAAGGAAGTCCCAAGTCTGTCAACGATGGGGATCGATCCACTGCTATGTTGATGCTGCAATGAGGCACATTCAGAGTTCCACTTGCGCTCACCCCAGCAGAGGTGGCGGATCTCAGAAAACCTGTCTCCAGATCCTACTGGTGGAGCTTTTGGGATGCTGAAGTGGTAAGGAGAAGGCTCCTATGAAATTTATAGGGAAGCTAATGCGCCCAGACAGCTTGGTTGGGAGGATAGGAGAATTTCGGGATAAGGACCCTATCCACGACGGTCGGGGAGTGAACCAGAGCTACGAGCGAGAGAGGACAGGGGTTCAGGAAAAGTTGATGAGAACTAGATAACGGGCTTTTTGCTTCATATACTGAAGCCGGACATGTGGCCCGAGGTTATCAAGCAATTCTGGCGGACTTGACGTTGTGGCTTCAGGTCTGCTGGCAATTTAACTGTGGTCTAAGCATGCGTCGCAGGCACTCACTGGAGTATTTTCTCAATATAACCGAAGGATTTTCATGTGAGACGAAGATGCAGGTTTACTGCCTCTCGACGCAGAGCGTGTGCTTTCGAGACATAGTCTATAACTTCATACCCCTGCATCCTCAATAGTTGACCAAGCACCAGACCAACAATTTTACACTGAAAGCATCAATGACCGCTATCCACCTCCAAAAGCAAGCTTCCTCACTCAAGGCTTTGCTTCACCAAAATTCTCAAAGACCACTAACTTCTTGTATAACTAAACTTGGCGAAATCATCAAGTTGCTATCTTCAAACTCACAACGCTGTGCTGTTCATGAAAGAAGTTGGCCATGTACGCGCTGCGAACGAGGGGAAGCGGCAGAATCGCATGCTTTAATTTGCGAATGCCACACAAAGATGGGTCATGTCACTGTTCAGAAGGGTATAGAGCTAGAATAATTGCTAGATCAGCCCGCTCAGTCCGTTCAACATGCTCAGCTAGAAATCCGTCATCTGTGCCCAAACGTTGCATCAAAGAGCCTACCAAAACCTTGACCCGAATACAAGAATCTAATAGTAGAGACTCCCCTACGGCGGCCGATAGCGGCCACTGGGAAAGTGCACAATTTGGGCATATTCTAGACCGCCCTAGGGACCGCTCTGTAACGCAGGAATCGTTCTTTACACTGTCTTTCCCATACAAAAATAGATTCTCCACTTTCTACTTTACCCCATATTGACCGCTATTTCTCACCACTAATCCCAGGTGGTAAGCTGAAGCTATTTATACCATACAATCTGCTAACTCTCAATATCGCTAGGCGTTGAATACCCTCGCTATTACCCTGCTGTGGCTGTCGCTGTAGCCGTCGCTGAATACCCTCGCTGTTGCCCTGCTGTGGCCGTCGCTGAATACCCTCGCTGTCGCTGTCGCTGTGGCCGTCGCTGAATACCCTCGCTGTTGCCCTGCTGTGGCCGTCGCTGAATACCCTCGCTGTTGCCCTGCTGTGGCCGTCGCTGAATACCCTCGCAGTTACTATCGTTGTGCGCTACTCTACAATGACGCCTCCTATCCCTCTTGACACGTATAGGCAGGAGATCGAGGATCTCGTCTAACTTGGGCGCTCTGCTAAAGCTATTCGCATTACCCTGCTTAATAACTATAGTATTAGTGTTATAAAGCGCATAATTAATAACCGCCTATAATTATAGAATATCTACCTAGCGAACCCCCGTCGAACGGCTGAGATAACCGAAGCTATAGATAAGCTTATTTATAAGCTTCTTCTCCTCTCTCTAAGCACTTAAGAGATTCTCTAAGTGCTAAAGAGATAGGATATACCTATATCCGAACGCTCTCTTCGTAGAGCTCGCAAGCGGCTTAGAATAAAGCTTCGGGTCGACGATCCTAAGGAACGTAAGCGGTAGAAAGCTGAGATCGAGGCTATTCTGATTGTGGAGGATTATATTAGAGATATTAAAGGCTATAGCCGGCGGCTATAATACTATTTCTTTCGTAGCTAAGGTTTTTCCTATCCCCGGTGAGTTAAGGTCTTTCCTATCCTTGATAAGAAGGTCTTTCCTATCCTCGATAAGTAGACACGAAGCTAATACTAATCTTTCTCTAGAGATAGAATCTAGGAGGTCTACTAAATAATCAACCCTAAAGCTATTAAACGTCGTCGATCAGATCTCTAACGCCGGAGAGGAGCTTACACTTACCCTAGGCCTAACTAGATATAGTATATTAATAGTTATATAAAGCTAGAACCTTTTGGATTCGAGATATATGCTGCTATTGATAGATACTCTCGACTTATTATATAGATATATATAGGAATCTCTACTCGGACAGTAGTAAGTGTACTTTATTAGTATCTCGACTACGTAGCTTCGAAGGGCTTTCTACTACGTATTATACGTACTAATCTAGGTATAGAAATAATAATGCTTAGTAATATATATCTAGCCCTTCGCTAGTTAGCGTTAGATAATAAAGATCTTCGGTAAAAAGACTACTTCTTCTACGGCCGAAGTACTAAGAATTAACGGATTAAATCCTAGTAGGGATAGCTCGTAGGGTTAAGCGCCTTCCTCTTCTACGAATATTTCTATATACTATAACGCGATAGGATCTTCTTAAAGTAGTGTCTTCTAGAGTAGATATCGCTTCTTACTATCTATATACCTATCCTCCGAGCTCGTATATACTTATATACGAATACGTAGAATATTTATCTAATTCGGCGATAGTCTCGCCGGCTAAATACTATCCTAGGGAAGCTAGTTATAAACTACTACTATACCGACGTTTAAGATTATTAGTAATCCTTTAACTAAGAGCTCCTTCGAAGACTATAGTAAGACGTAGAAGAATAGGATCCTTTAGAATATCTCCTACTAACGACCTTAGTATAGTGCTGCTTATAGCTTTAGTAGATTAGGTAGTAACTTATAGGCGTTAGCTTTAACCCTAAAGATCTACTACTTTAGCTCTATAGGGAAAGAGACTAGCTATACCGAGCGGTATATAAAGCACTTCGGCTTCGTGTATTATACTACTATAAATCTAGTGAGGAGCCTATCCTAGGCGTCTGTATAAAGCCGTATAGTGTATATTTATAGTCGCTAATAGCCGAGATAGCTAAGACAGCTAAGATAGCTAAGATATAGTTCAAAATTAAATTTATATCTTATATTAAGCTTAAAGGCCTCGAGCAGCTTATTAAAAGCCCCGATCAATCTCGAATCTCACTTCGAAATAGTATCTCTATAATCCTCCCTATAGGACGCTATAGCTACTGCTATCCTAGCTATATTATCTTCTTTAACGGTAATAGTAGCTTCCTTAATAGTAGTAACTCTAACACCTATACTATTAACACCGATACCTTTAACACTAGTAGCTATAGCTTTACTAGTAACTATAGTTTTACTAGTAACTATAGCACCAGCGTAGCTAAATATACGCTTTTCCTCTCTTTCTAGTACAGTAAGCGTAGCTAGGAGCTTATATCTACGTTAACGAGAAAGACACCCTCTACTACTACTACTACCGCCGCCGCCGCCGCCGCTACTATAAGAGATTCATATCTCTACGTCCTTCTATCTCTAGGAGAGCCTAAAAGAGATAGAGCGGCTACAGGGTAAGTACTACTACTACTAGAAGGAGCTAGCTAACCTATATTTCATCTATTAGTATCGGTTTCTCACATTTCTCCCTCCTCCGAGACCATCGTCGATATCCTATCCTTCGCAAGAGACCTCGTCTTAAAGCTCGATCGGAACGTACTCTAGTAATTAGGATACTAAACGAGGCTACGAGATTAGTTCCTTCTAGCCGAGGATATTACACATCAAGATAGAGGGAAAAGGCCGTTAATCGTACACTTTCTCTCTAAACAGAATCTCTTCCTATTTAGAAGCCTTAGTAAACTTTACTAGCGCTTCCGGATAGAGAAGGGAAAATATTAGATATACGTTATAATCCTACGGTCCTCCGAACAGGTAGCGCTACAATAAGAGGAGGAGGATAAGCTATTTATAGAGCGGCTCTTTAACTACAATACGGATCAGGGTGCTACTTCTATAGTAGCAGCAGAGGATACTACTACAATAGTAGCAGTAGAGGATACTACTCCTATAGTAGTAGCAGAGGGTACTATATCTCTTACAGTATCTTCCTTATCGAGGAAGCGAGCAGCTTCTCTATCACAACGAAGCCAGCGGCTTAGGCGGCGGCGGCGATGGTAGACGAATATAGACCAAGATACACCATAAAAATAGTTTCAATATCATCATTATAGCGACAGTGAGGTAAATGACCGTTGAGATAGCACCTTACCACCTAATATCAGCGGAAATGGCCAAGATACACCATAAAAATAGCTTCAGTATAGCGACAGCGAGGTAAATGGCTGTTGAGATAGCACCTCACCACCTGATATCAGCGGAAATGGCCAAGATACACCATAAAAATAGCTTCATTATAGCGACAGCGAGGTAAATGGCCGTTAAGATAGTTGTACATGATTTAATATGGGCGTTGTAATAGTAATTCAGGTATCTAAATCTTTCTGCCGGTCTTAGAATATGCATAATTGTGCACTTTCCCAGTGGCCGCTATCGGCCGCCGTAGACTCCCCCCATGAGTGTCGTATTGAACTAAGATCGTTTGCCGAAGATGGAACTCTCAAACCCCATGTTCAACCAAACTCGAACCTGAGCCCTCGAAAGCTTTCCGAGCAGGACATAGAATTGGAATGATTTTTAGGCCCGGAACCTAGAGCACCCTGCTCATCGCATCCATTATTCGTCATTTTCCTCGGCCCTTAGGGGTTGTTGCTGACTTCGACGTGATCCACAAAAGTCTTCCTCTCGCGGAGATTGGCAGCGGCGTGCTGCTCCTTGCGATGTTTGCTAATTGCCTGGACACCCGTCAAGAGCTCGTCGCCATCAAATATCTCGCCAATTTCCTCAAGGCCCTTGCCCTTGGTCTCTGGCAAATACCACCACGCAAAGGCGCATTCAAGACCCAGAACGACGCAGGCGACTATGTAGTAGCGCCAACCAATGCTGTCTATGGCGATAGGGTTCACATATCCTGTAAAAAAGCTAGCTGTGTATCCACAGAATTGGAAAATCATAGCTGTTTTGGATCGGAGAGAGAAAAGAGAACACTCCACAACATAGGGCACTGTGGCAATAGCAAAAGGTTGATAGCCAACCTGAAACAGGAAAATCATAGCGACAACAGCCAGTGCAAGAGGGTGATCTGTAAAGTTCTTCTGCTCGTTAATAGCCGAGCAAATCGTCCAAATAATAAAGACAAGAAGCATGACAGTCATGCCGAAAGTGATCGATCCTCGTCTGCCAAAACGGTCGATAAGCATAGCGAAGAAGACTGAGCAGCATAGCTGCCAGATAGCAGCTATAGCGTTAATGAGGAGCTGAGTTCGTGCATCTGTGATGCCGACACTATCAAGGATCTTGGAGAGGTAGTATCCGGTCAGACCAAGGCCTGACAACTGGGCAGCGTAGCCAATGAATAACAAAATCCATAGACGCTTGCGGTTTCCCTTGGTACGAATAAACTCGACCCACTGGATAGCATTCTTTTTCTTTTCCTCTTCCAACGTCGCTTGAATTTCAAGCATTTCGAAGCGGATAAGTCGCGAGTTACGATCGCCACCCGCATGATATTTGGCGAGCATATTCATAGCCTCTTCCTGTCGGTCCTTGAAAACAAGCCAACGAGGAGATTCTGGTGCAAAGATACTGATCACTAGCTGTAGGAGCGACGGAACACCCTGCAAGAGACTAGGTAGTCTCCAGCTCCACGAAGAATCCATCTTGAACGTGCCGAACGTAGTCCAAGCCGCTATCAAGTAGCCCTAAGTAGAGGTAATTAGTTAGCTTTGCTAACCTTGATAGAACTACAATTGAACTCAGCTTGTCGTCCAGAAAATAGCGAGACTCACCACGACCCACTGTGTCATATAAAGAGAAACGATCTTTCCACGATGGGTTGGGTACGCGGCCTCCGTCATCAGCTGAGGAGCAGCGACGGCCACGATCCCCGTACCCAAACCGATGATAAGGCGGCCAGCAATGAACATTCCCAAGCTGTGCGCTGCACCCTGAAGAACAGAGCCAATCGTAATCAAGGCAGTACCAATGGTGATGGGTTTTTTGCGTCCAAGGATCTCGCACAGCTGGGAGGAGAAAAGTGCGGAAAGCAAAACGCCAATGTTGATAGCGTTAACCAGAGTGCCTAGCTTTGCACCCGTCTGTCCTTGGAATTAGCAGTCAAGTCGAGGCACGAGAAGACAGGCTGACCTTACCGGGTTACCAAACGCAGCTTTCCACGAAGGCAAGGACTGCATGCCGTTGATCATGCTCCCGTCGAACCCACATGTAAACTGAGCTAAGAAGGCACAAACTAGTAGAAGATTCAGTTTGAGTAGGTGTGGATACTGAAACCACCATTTTTCGAGTTTTGGGGTAACATCTGCCAGGACAAAGCCGTCGAACTCATCGAGGTCACCCAGATCCTGTTTCGGATCTGTAGCTGCTGACATCTTGGCGGCTTGGAGATAGTAGCTCGGTAAATGAGGAAAGGAAGGATGCAGAAACTTGTGTGCTTTAGGAGGCTATCTTCTCTGGTGATTATCCCATTCCAATGACGAGTAAGCTGGTCCTTGAAGGGATTCGACCAAGGTTTTATATTATGGTGAGAAGCTCAGGGGATTCACCTAGGAGAGGTGGCTCGCCGCAGGGTTGGCTCTCCGCTATCTCCACGTGCAGAACGTCGGGTAGCACAAGGAGGAACCAGGCTATGAGGCCATGGAGGTTTAAAATTCCTAGCGCCACAACGCGATCGGTGCAAGTGTCGGCTTGGCGCCGGAGACGAGGTACATCAGTCAGGTCTGTTCAGTCAGGCGACATATTGTCCGGAAAGCCGGATCCGCTAACTGGTAGCGATAGCTGCTGGTTCACACATTGAAAGTGGCGTGGGGAAAGAGCTATGGGAGAGACTCCGGCCATTCCTCCGGTTCTCCGTCGCTTGACCCCACTTGGTGTTCAATGAAGGTTAGGGTTCTAGCCGCCTATTCGGTGCCAACAACTTAATGATGCAAACATGAGTCTGGTCCTTAGTTTCCATTGTGCGCCCTTTTGAAGCAGCCTTGTCAGGGTGCTTACACAACTTTTGCATGGAATGGGACGATATCTGGCCCTTATATATAAATCGCAGTAAGAGACGCATCCAGGGATCCATGATTCATCTAATAGTCCACAATGTTCAGCGAAGCTGGCGTGGGAAGATGGAGGAACATCACCAGATAATCCAAATGCCTACCAAAAGTCCAAGAAACTTCCCCCAAGATCGAGCAAAGCTCTAACAAAGAAGACAATAAGGACGAAGAGGAAATATCACAAACTTCAGTTATATTGCCTCAATTTTCCAGCTGTTCCGTTTCCCATCTCAGCAGGATTTCGATAGTGGACATTGTACGGGGATTACTAGGTCTAATGATGGGTTTTTGCTTTGGTAAGCAATCTCTCAGCAACTTGATTGCATTTGCCGCCTTTCAAGTATATTCCCAGGCAAAGGCAAGATTAGCCATGCTCCTCAGCGTGTCGAGATGGTCTTCGCTAAGTTTAGACTTCTGTGCCTCCATCACCTACTCACTTCGTACATCGACTCTTATATCTGGGTTCTCACACCTGACATCTTCGAGGAATGCATCTTGACGCCGACTTGCGAAGATGACAGCCCATGGCCTCAGCGAATCAGCAGCTAGCATACGAGCTACTCGAGAACCAGGCAAGCACACTCGCAGTATACTTGGCCTCTGGACGGGTCGTCTCTCTTGGCATCTCTCCTGGCTAGGTGAGAGATTGGATGGTAACATATGCGTTCCAAGAACTATACCAAAACTAGTACGTGATGATCTCTTTTACTAGACATGCGCTAACTTGCGCAGGAAAGACACTATTGTGGGAAGGTCTTATCTCGACTGATCCAAGGCTATCTTTATATACGATAATACTCCGATGTATACTACAACACACTGTGTACAAAGTTGCCTACAATAATAAAGATATATTGTTATGGAATAGCTACTATATTCGCTATATTTGATTCAAGTTAAAGATCTGTAGGCGTTGCTAAAAGACAAGCTATTGAAGATATTTCCTAAGCTATATGCCTAATGATAAAGGAATATGGTTGTTTCTAATATTAGGAGCATATACTATGTGGTCTTATATCGATCAAGAGATCTTTTAGAGACTATTAGAGAGTACGCCTAGGCATGTGTAGGCAATTATTGAGGCAGAAGGCTAGTATACTACATACTAAGAAATGCGTATATATTGGCATAGCTACATGGCTACAATGGCAACTCTTGCGGGCAAGGGTTAAATGACCAAGCGGGGGCTATTCAGACATATTTGGAGCGACTGTACTAAAGCGCTTGCCTTTGGCCCAACCCTCTCTACAATGGTTTTACAGAAACCGATCTAGAACTCTTGAAAATAACAATTTACGTTGCGTTTAGACTGCTTTCCTGGTACTACTCTAAGGTTACATAATACATGATTTGGCGGAGGGTGGAATATTCAGGAGGTGGAATATTCAGGGAGTGAAGTAATGATAGAGCATGATTTAGCGATGATATCCGCCAATGGAGGTTCTCTTAAAGCCACTACACTAAAGGATGACTAAAATAAAAGGGAATGAAAGGGCAAGACAGAACAGTGGCTACATAAATTTCAAATTCTTCTAGTAAAAAGGGCGAGGTATGTTAGGGTATAATTTCGCTTGATGGGGCATACTTCTCTCCCGTGATACCTTAAGGGGTACCCTTAACCGAGCCCAGGAATGTTACCTTCTTGTAACATCAATACTAGGGGTTTCCCGCCCATATCTCTTAGATATAAGGGGGAAAGTAAATTATGTAGTAGGTCATGAGATTTTACGGGGTAGAATTAACCGATATAGAATGGCTCAAAACCTATAAAGCCTGAGACTGACCTCACCACACTATCATTTACCACGACCAGCAGTTCTTAGGACTTACCAGCCCTTCAGCCTTACTACCCACAATTTATTTTTGCTCCTTTTTCTCCAAATACAAGTGAGTATATCTAAAACACCCTTTCAATGCTTGTCTAACACTCTGACTAATCCATAAATAGCCTACACCATGCAGGTTACCTACCAAATGATGAACGCTTTTGCGGCTTTCATGCTCTTTACCTCAGTTACTGCTGCGCCGGCCTCTGAGACCGCCGCCGGTGCTGTGGCATGGGCCGACCCCAAAGACTGTCATCGATTCTATGAATGCCCTGTGGGTGGGAAGCCTGTCTTGAAGACTTGCGGCCCGGGAACCGCCTTTCAGTCGGCAACAAGTGTCTGTGATTATGAGCACCTAGTGGCTAGCTGCTGGCATCATTAGGGACGAAAGTAACAGTATCAGCTATTTAGCTTAAAGACTGAATAAGACAAGTATGCTATGGGAGCGCTTAGCCGACCAAGTATGCAATATTGTTACAATTGTATACTTCAAATAAAGCTCAGTGAAATCATTATTTAATTGATACAGATTAAATGATATATGTTGCTTATTATAGTTCTACAGTATCTTCTGGAAATAGAGGTGATTAATGTAACACACCACCGGATAGCGCACCCTACTGAGTGGCAAACTCCACTAGACAACACATATCCACGCGAATTTACCTTTACCTATCAATTGCCTACTACCACACCTAAACACATCGAAGCCTCTCTAGAATCAGCAGGTCAAGAGGCTTGTATCTTATTAGTTATCTTAGCTATCAAATCTATTGAGACCGATAAGATCGCGTCTATTTGCCAGGCAGCAGCTCTATTTAGGATATCAGAGACTACATCTCCCCGCTAACGCGTCGGCTAGCTGGATCGGGATGAGACACGCGTAAATAGTTATAAATTGATCCAATTCGAAGAGGATTCGCTAGTTGAATATATTTTGTCTACAGGTTCGTCTAGAACAGCGCCTTGGCCCGCGTTCATTCGAGAGATTGATACGGTATGCCCAAATAATGTATTGGGCCTGTCCAGCAGGTAAGACCACGCATCAGTGCGCCCACGTTGACTTTGTGGAAGCTGTCAACAGCAAGCCCTCTGTCTTTACTAGCTTAACCATCTATCTAGTCACCATCGCGGCCCCGTTGTATATATCCAGTACAAGGCTATACCAGAGAGTGCTACTTTCGACGCAATATAGGATATGAATATATTTAAATAAAACGAAACGGTTCCCAATTTGGAATCAAGATTGTGGCGCATTTCGTCTCTCCACCCCCCAATGGGTTACATGGAACACCGTTTCCGTCTTTGCTCTCAAGATGCGTTCCACCATAGTGACTAATTCTCTGTCCAGGACTTAGGGTATGGTTAAAAATATGCGAGAAATCGTCCTAGGAGCTAAGAACGTTATTTCCGTAGGGAGTATTAGTAGCTTCCCACACATTAAACTGCTGGTTGTTTGACTGGATCCCCAACGATGGGGTTGCTTGATGATCACCAGATTATGTATATGCTGAGGGCCGATCCGATCGATAGGAAACAAGAAATTCCTGCTCGAAGGAGGGTCGAAGTGGCGGGAAGGCCAGACTGAATTGATACAGACCGTCTGATTCATGAATTTTCTGTGTAGTCATGTACTCATCAGGGGTACTAGATGGGCAGCTGCAGACTGAAAAGGACAAGTTTTAGATAGCGAGATGCCAATCGGAAGTTGTGCTCTCTAGGGCTTTCTGAGTATGCCGTCTTCCCGATATCCAGACTGGGGCGAGGAGCAGCACCCAAGTTATTCTGGGCGTCTATGAGCCGCTTTGCTCGGCTTGAGGTGAAGTTATTACCAATCGAGCTTGCGGGGTTATCACTACCAATCCATCGGGGAAAATATCGCGAAGGCTGGCGATCAAGGTATCGAAAGCTGGCGGATCAGGAACTTGATTGTATCGCGCATGGGCGAGGGAGGCGGAATGGTAGTTGAGGATTTATGAATATAGGAGAGAATGATAAAGATTGTTGTCCGATTGTAGCGATCTTGGACGCTGCCTCTACGCATGTTTCCGCCCATGATATACATAGTAGCTTGATAGGGCAATTTTGCGAGCGGGGATATAGGTATGCAATTCCTTGGTATAGTAGAAATACTGTAGTATTATGTGTGATATGCGCTAGTCAAAGATTCGGATCTACCACACCATCCGTATTAACCAGGGAGGCCTCCCGCCATTTCGAGGGTAGATATAACTTCCACCTAAAAAATATCATTGTTAGAAGATGGCTAGTGAAGTGAAGTGATAAGAATACCAGCTGAATAAGCCGAAGATCGAGTTCCTTGAGTCTCATTATCTAAATATGAGCTTTCCTGGTATCCGCAATATTGAATCCACGGCGGAGAAAGAAAGACGCTACTACGGATAGTGACTTGGTAGCCTTAATACTATACACAAAACCACTAATAGAATCCTCATTATCCGAATTCATCCACGTATAGCTGCCAATCAGAAGCGAACTAATTGAAGTAGTACCTTTAAAGTCTAAAGTCTGAGATACCAAAATAAGACGCACGATGGGGTTTGGGAGTGGATCCGAATATAGCGTTTACTGCTCAATGCCTTAGAACTGTCTGTTAAATCTATCTTTCAACCTCTTATATTGGAGGCTTGGAGCTGCAGTATAATGATCTGTTGATTATGTCTTTTGACCGAGCTGCAGTATAATGATCTGTTGATTATGTCTTTTAACCGGTCAACAGACAAGTGAAGAAATTGGGTAATGAAAGCTTTTGCGGTACTGGTGGATTACAGATATGAAGTTTCAATGGAAGGGAGCAAGGGCGTTAGAAGGCCCTCCTCAGAGCCGCACTTTACGTACAATCTGAATTGGGGAGCTGAACCCGACATCACTTTTCTCATCGTGACCCCAGGTATAGAAGTTATTGCATAGAATTACATAAGATTCATAATATGTAGCGGCTAGGCAAGCGATAGAAACTTCGTACTAAACGATTTGCATTGATAATTCATAAACAAACAATCATATGACCGTATCTGTTCATTGCATTCTTGCATTAGCAGGATTTGAGGTAAAAAAACAGAGATATCGAAATTGCACCATTATTCAACCGTATGAATTTCAGTTAGTGTTCATGCGGGCCATACCTAGAGTGGTTTCAACGATCCAGATAATAAATAGAAGAATACAAATTGATAAACAGCGAACGCGGATTTCCATCAATGTCAATCAGTTCAAGATGCCCTCGTAGACGCGTCGCTCTTAAGTTTATCAATGACTCTACTTGGTCTTGGGAAATCTGTCATCTATTCCAACCATTGCTACACTGGCACAAATGGAGACGAATGAGATATTTTGGCCCGCACGGGGCACCTGCGGTCTGAACACTGGCGATGTAGGCCTCGCTGACGGAGGGCTACAGCGCCGTGAAGGCTGCAGGCGGGCCCAAATGACCGGGTGGGCCAAAAGAGGATGGTGAAGGGGCCGGTGGTATGGAAGAGACCGGAGTTGGATGACCGGTCTGGAATTGACGGTTCCAAGCGTACAGTGTTGTCGTAGGTGTCGTGAAGTAAAGGCGGACGGCTTCGGAAGACCATCTCCCGAGGGCTTGGATGTGGTCATTTCTTAAGCCTGCGTCGTGGGCGCTTGCGCTGTCCGTCGCCCGCAACAAGGGAAGCGGACACAGTGGACATGAATGAGTCCCGTTGAGTATCAGACAGGGATATATACTCCGGTGGGTAGATCGAGGAGCCCAGGGCGGTCTGTCCCCCAGGAGTAGGACTGGGGGCCTCGGAACTAGGTCGCACCATTCCAAGAGGAATTCTTGAAGAAACCGTCGCGGAGAGAGCCCGGCTCTCCCTCGAAACGGCGATGTTCAGCACGGAATATCGTGGGCCCGAGGCAAGGGGCTCTCGCGCAACAGTCCCGAATAGAACCTATCATCTGTGAAGTGCCTGTTCGAGTGAGCTTTGCTCTTTTGGTTCAGGGCCCTCATAGTAACTTCTGAACGTTTATAGTCAAACCCCATTTTTCCCCTAGTGGCGTTAATCACCGTAGCCTTGGAGATTGGTGCACTGATCTCAATGAGGACGAGGCTATCCCGTACGGCGGACGATAGCGGCCACTGGCCAAATGCGCTAATTATGCATGAATTAAGACCGGCAGAAAATTTAGATACCTGAATTACTATTACAGCGCTCATATTAAATCATGTAGATCTCTCTCAAAGGCCATTTACCTCGCTGTCGCTATAGTGATGATATTGAAACGGCCACAGTGCAACAGTGAGGGTATTCAGCGACGGCCACAGCGAGGGCAACAGTGAGGGTATTCAGCGACGGCCACAGCGAGGGCGACAGCGAGGGTATTCAGCGCCTAGGGATATCGAAAGTTAGCAGATTGTATGGTATGAAATAGCTTCACCTTACCACCTGGGATAGCGGCAAGAAATATCCGTGTCTTCGCCCACCCACACCGCTTCCGCGCTGTGGGTGTGCCTCACCGTAACCACTAATATCACCGTAACTACCAATCTTGATCAAAATCATCAATTTTGAAGCTTTTCCCCCCTATAAAACATGCCGAAACCCTCCAATTTTGATGAATCTCGTATAGCAGAGGCCTGTGAAGCTATCCGCGCGTAAAATAAACCGAATATGTCGAAGACTGTGCGTAAATATGGTATTCCTTATGCGACGCTACGTAACTGTATTAAAAAGGGTAGCCGGCCCTATATAGCTAGAAAAGCGTCTAATAAAGCCCTAGATAGCTATTAAAAGGAAGCCTTAATATACTAGATCGATTATATATATAGTTAGAATATACCTATTACCCCTAGCCTAATTAAGTAGTAAGTAAATCGAGCTATTATATATATTAGTAACCCTATATAAACTATCGGCCTTATATAAGTATATTACTTTATAAAATACCTACTAGCGTATCTATAGCTAGGCCCAGTAAAATAAAAGACTAAGGAATTAAAATATATTAAGGCTAAAGATATAGGATTACTATAGTACTAGTATAATCTATTAGCTAATATAGTTAAGAATATATTAGTATAGTTAGTATATAATTTTAATAAGTATAGTTTCTAACCTAGCTAGGATATATTATAAAAGATTATTAGATTAAAATTACCCTACCCTAATCTTACTAAATTAGAATATAGCGAGACTATTATAACTATTAAATATATTATTACCGATAGTTAGCTAATAGATCTATTATTTATCTTTAAAAGTAGTATATTTTAAGAGTATTAGTTTAATAATAGCAAGGCTTTACTATTATTTATAAATATAGTAATATTATCTAATAGCTAGATATCCGATAAATTAGCCTTTAAATAGCTTTAATCTTTTATTAATATAACTAATA